GGTGGAAGGCGTTTCAGGGGTGCCAACCCCGTCTCCTAAGCGGACGCGCCGCGAATTACAACCGAAGTTAGGATGCGCCCAGGTCGAGACTAGCTACCTGAAATCACCGCTGAGACATGAATGTATAAAAACAATATTAGGGGCGAAGCTCCTTAGGGTCTAGCCTTGTCCGTCCGTCCGTCCGTCCGGCCGGCGTCCGTGCTCACATAAAAAGAAAAAAAAAATGTTTGCGCAGTCGACAGGATTCGAATCTGTGCGGGCAGACCTCAATGGATTTCTAGTTCATCGCCTTAACCACTTGGCCACGACTGCGGGACGAGTAGGGGGCCCTGAGATGTGTTAGTAACTCCAGAGCTGGGGCTTCTGTCATGGAACGTCGCATGTAGCCGCTCAGCGTCTATATAAGAGAGGGCGCTGCGGTCAAATGCACATATAATCGCGTTAAACTTTGCATGCATTGACTGAACGTTTATAGACGAGAGGGTGCTGCGGTCAAATGCTCAGTTCCATACCACACATTCTCTTTCTGACATGGACCGTTGACTTAAGCGGTGGAGATGCGTTCCCACGTCTTCTAGCGGATCCAAGCTGATCCGCTAGAAGAACCATTGGCTCTGCATTTCACCGACCATAAAGCAGTAATAATGAAGTCGAAACGCAACCCGGAACTCAGCACTACCTATGAGCTTAAAAAAAATCAGCACCATCAGCACTACCTATGAACAATAAAATCAGTATCATCAGCACCACCGGAGCTTCGCCCCAATCAACATCATTCACCACGTGGAGATGCGGTCATTTTTTTTAATTGTGCCACATAACATTGTAAAATAAAGATTTTAGAAAACATCACGTGGCCGTCATTTTGTACTAAACTCCAATAAAAGTTACTACAAAAAAATGTTTTTTCCCGTTCGTTTTTACGCAAAAACATGTTTTCTTAAAGCTCTACATGACCACAGTAAAGAAAAAAAAAAAGATTGAGCCGCCATTTTGGCACTTTAAGCCTGGGAGTTTCGGTACTCTAGGAACATTCAGTGACTCTAGCTGTTGCCATATAAGACAACTCTCATGCTTCAACTCTACGCTAAAGAGTTGCGCTGTTATCGTATTTAGCTCGGTCTCGGTGGACGCCAGCGGTGCAGGTTTCAACGGCGAGTTTTCCAACTGAGTATTCTACTAACATTGCTGTCTGCTCAATGCGCCATCCAGCCCCCTATAGTGGAGATCAGTGGCTCAAACATTCATCCACGAGTGTACATGGGAAAGAGTGCAAGTGTATACAATACTTTTTATTTAAAAATAAGTTTTGATTTTTCACCTCCATCAGCTGTGAATTTGCATGGCTCTCCTCAACGACATTAATGTAAAGTAGTAAATACTTCACACGTCGACTAATCCTGTTATGGTCACAAGCACATGTCATCACGTCCGTTGTAATCCTCGCGTTGTCGTATGCACCAGCACTTAGTAGAACCAGATATTCATCGCCGTCATGCCGGACCCTACACACCACCACAGACCACTGCCGGCCATCGTCAACAAAACCTTGTGATCCTCGTCCAAGTACCACGTGACGCCTGCGCCGCTCCGCACTCTGACGGCTAGAGAGGGAGTGCTAGGGAGCACTCCGAGGGGGGGGGGGGGGGCGCCCCCGGAAGCAACCAGCCGATCAGGCCACCGCACTCTCTTTCTACCAATCGATCTCGCGTGCTCTGGAAAGAGCGCTCGAGGGCGCGCAGAAAGAACCCGGCGAATTCGCCATTACCCATCTTATGGCTTAAAATCATGGCGGCCAGTTATCGGAAGCTTTATTTGAGATCGCAGGAAACGCTTTTCCGTCCTCCAGAAATAATGAAACAGTTCGCGACAGAGCGAGGCGATATCATCTGAGATTCCTAAACACCACATTTAAAGTTGGAGGAAGACGCATTTTCGAATTATGGCTATCGACAGTTGCGTCTGCTCTGCACCAAGCACCGAGGTGTCGGCGTCCACAACAATACCGGGGAACAGAGTGCCGCTACTCTAAGGGCCTGTTCACACACTTGCATCCGAGTAGGACTGCCTGAGACGAGACTGGTTTCTAAGCCTATTGCGACGGCTTAGGACCGGATGCGCTGCTGCTGAGCTAGTCCTAAAGGGCGATTCACATATTTGCGTACGGTTCGACCGGGTGCGGGGGTTGCTATGGCAACAGCTGCGGCGGCTCCTACATAACGTGGTAAAAACTGGTTTTGTTCGAGCCGACGGTCGGACTTAACGCAGGTGTGTGAATGGCCCTTAATCTCGGTTGTTGTAGCTCCCTTAGTGGCTCTAAATTTATCAATTGCTAAATTCTCCAAGCGCCCCGGCCCGCACTCGAGGAATCATGGGAATTGTGTTCCTTCAGTCCCCTAGTGATCGGTAATGTCGACCATTTCGACACTTACGCACTTTTTAGCGCAATCCGGAGTCACCCTCAAGAAGCGTCGTGGGGAGTAAGCGCATTTGTCATATCACTTAAAATTTCTTGTCTATGTCAGCGTTTTTGATACTGTGCATGCAATTCACAATTCAACCTGGTTGTGCTGCAGAAATCTCTTACAATATTATCATTCTCGTGATTGTTGCTTAGCAGGTATTGCTTAAAAAGCCGAGAATTCGCAACAACCAAATCCAGGATTTAGCTTTTAGCGTCCCTAAGTTAATACCAAAGTCCTTGAAGGTGGATGTTGGTGCTTCGTGAACAGGTCCTACGTTTCTTTTTTCGACTGTTATTCTTGCCTAGATTCGCCGCTTGTAAAATGAAGCGAAAATAAACTATTACTATTACTATGGTCTTTACACACTTGCCGTGAAACATGGGACTGCAGTCGCAATACTGGGAAGTTAAACTACGACCTGAGTTAAATATCACTCACTGATCGGAAAAATACTATAACTAAAGAAATTTCACTTAAAGGCCGACAACCAGACTCGAGATTCTGCAAGGCAGAATATCCTCCTCACCATGGGGGAGGGGGAAACAGGCAACGGTGGACAGGGTAAAAAGAGGGAGAGAAGAAAGCGAGGGAAAAGTGGAAAGCGCGAACGGATCGTCAGTATTTAAGTAATGTTAATAAAGTTATGCATACTTCGCTACGTCCAAAGTAACAAAGGTAATTCCTGCTATTGTCCAGGGAAGAAACAAAATTCACGCCCGTTTTATCATAGGAATCCACAAAAACACCGCAATAGTGGACTGGTAGCTGTCTGCTTCAATTTGAAACCGGAAGTCCCATAGATAGCGGCAGTTGAACCTCTAGCATACATTAGAATAACTCTATGGACGCACCTAGGGGTGATGGCGCCCATGACAAGTAGTTTTTTTTGGCGCCCCTGACGACGACGACGACGACGGTGATGATGATGATACTTTCTTTTATAAAATCTCTCGTGTCCACTAAAGCAGACTGGTGTGCGTCAGGAGATCGATTCCATTGTAGTGTACTGAACACACACGGAAGGAAGGTACCAAACAAGATAAGCTCCTCTCGAACATTCTCGCCTCACGGCAATAATCTTGAGCAAAAGAAGAAAGTAGACATTTAGAAAATTGCATTGGTTCTAAACAATTTTGTACCACACATAAGCCAAAATGAACGTGGGCATATAGTAACAGTTTGCTAGATCGTGAAGACGCTCAGATAAAGTTATAGACGTACATCAGCAGAGAACTACTGTTTACGTTTGTGACATTATATTTGTCACCATTGATTATTCAAGAAACAAATATCAAACAGAAATTAATACATCATGGCGCTACATAAAAGAGAGCTTCTTTTCGCTGAAGCGAATTTATGTACAACGTCATCGGAAATCAGTTTACTCAGTTTCTCTTCTTTCTACACTCAAAAGAGCAAAATCACGAAAGCTCAAAATACGAAAGTACTAACTTTAGTAGTGCAAAACTATCGATAATACTATCGATAGTATCGATAGTCTCCAGAAATCTGACTATCGATAGTAGAAAAACTATCGATAGTACTATCAATAGTAACAAACTATCGATAGTCGACTATCGATAGTTCTACGACACCTGGAAAAACTATCGATAGTATTGATAGTTTTGCATCACTAATTAACTTCAACTTGCTGGTCGATTCGGCACGAGGATAGCGTTCTGCCGCCTGGGCTTTGGACCCGTGGTGCCCTTTGTCCAATCCTGGCTTCCTCTTGGTATACTCGTCGCCAACTGGCGACCAACCTCTAATGGCGCCCGGGGCACGTGCCACCCGTGCCACACCCTAGGTACGCCACTGCAGGAACCATCCACCCAACCCACCAGCTTGAATGAAGCGTGACTCAGAAAGAACCCCGCCGGTCTTTCCTTGTCGGGACTGTCCTCGGTCGGAATCTACGCAGGCCCGCTACCGCTGGGCGTAACCGGTTCAGGAGCAACGCGGACGCTCCCAGCAGACGACAGGGTCACCGCGAAAGTGAAACGAAACCGAAACAAGCGTCTATTTCGGTCCGCAATGGTTCGAGACACTTCCAAGTCCTCCACAGTCCCTTTCACCTAACGATGGACCGCAGCGGACAGCTATCCCAGCGAGCCCAGCGCTCTGGACGTGGCACACGACTACGAGTGTCGCTGTGCTTCTCACGAAGGTCACGTGAACACTCATACGCCATTGGATTGGCTTCGATGGCTGGTAGCCTCTGCTGCGGTCCATCATAAGGTAAAACCAAGTGTAGCGCCAGCGTGGGGTGTCTCCTACTGCCGCCGCCGGTCGGGAGCACGTGAGGCCAACCGACTACGCCGATGTTTTGTGTCCCACTTCCACTGGCCGCTGGTTGGGCCGCTTCCTTTACCCATGTATTTTTAAAAGCAGGGGTGTCCTGCCCCGACGGGAAGCGAGAGTGTGCCACGTCACTTTCTACTTCTTTTTTGGCGATTCGGGGAAGGTTATAAGAGTGCCGGGCCAGGACGGCCGACTCTCCTGTTGCCTTCTGGCCCTTCCAGAGGAATAGTCAGGATGCTGCGTACAATCGCCGTCGCCTGCCTCCTGTTGGGTGAGATTTGGATTGTCCCTGGATTTGTGCGACTCGTTGATCACAGGACGGAGTAACGATCCATTGTGTCGTAGTAAACGCGAACGAGAAGTTATGCACCGCTTGCACTGACGTCACATCAGATACCATGGTCGTGGCCTTGCTGCTAAGTGCGTACCATGTGCTGCTGCATGCATATTGCTTCACCGAATTTGTTTTTCTCGGCAAGGATTCAAGTAGGAATTAGCCAGCTACGTGCCACGTATGGTCACTTGACAGAAGAACGACAGGACACGCCCGGTGCCCTCCACCGTGCTGCGCTTGCACGCTCAATGCTCACGAGACGCCCAAGTGTTGTCGAAGGTAGGAAGCTCGTGTTGGATGCGGGGCAATCGAAGGACCTACCCAGTGGCGTCACAAAGGGGGGGGGGGGGGGGGGGGGGGCGGACCGCCCCGGGTGCAGCGCTCAGGGGGGTGTCACGGCGGGGCACGAGAGGGGGGGGGGGGATCGCGGCGGGCCACGCGAGAGCGGAGGGGGGGGGGGGGGGGGGGGTGTCGCGGCGGGCTACCACCCCCAGTGCCGCTGACCCTCATGACGCCACTGGACCGACCTGCAGCCTGTCAGCGAGTACACAAGAGTGAGCGCAACACTTTGAGTGGCCCAGGTAAACACGCGCGCACGTGAGGTGAGAGAATCGTTTAAGACACGGGGTTTCAGAATAGGGGACCCCAACGCTTTAGATTCCCCGAGCAGCTTGCACATACGCAGTGCGAAACGCCAAGCTGCTCGGGGGACCCAATGCGTCGGAGTCTCCTATTCTCTAGCTCCCTGTATATGCTATTCTAAACTGCAACGTCCAGATAACAAAACGAAAGAATAGAACGGTACCAACGCGCTCGTTAGGAATATACACCATCCACTTAGTCACGCATTTGCTGAAAGTTACTGCTACTTGTGTTTGAAACTTAAAGACACTCCCGGATAGTCTTTCCCATAACTATACATGGCTTGCACGTGGCGTCATGACGCCGGGGGTCATTTCTACTTTTTCTTGCCTAGGGGAGCAAAGATACTACTTTCAAAAATCCCTGCAGGCAGCACTGCGCGCGTTGCATTATAGAACCCCGTTGGCCATGGAGGAGAGTGACATGGTTTCGAGTTGCACCGCCCCCTTGACGAAGTGGTGCATCTCAGCACTGCATGAATATAAATTCAACACTGAGTTGCATTGCACCCATTCATCTTCGTGAGAGCCCCCGTTGAAATACGGACCTTATAGTGGCCGTAAGAACCTGCCTAGACTTAACGAAGAGTATAGTACAGCCGGCCGCGTACCATACTTTTCAGGCGGACTGGCTACAACTCCGGAGTGCATCATGTCCCTCACAGGTCATGGATCATTAAACAGCCCAGGACATTGAGACGATAAAACAGGATAATCGGCCCTGTACTCTTCTTCTTCTTCCTTTGTCAACCTCAGTAGAAAAACCCAGAGACAAGGAGCTAAAAGGACAGAACAACACTGTCTCAAAACCAGCACAACAAAGATTTAATTAGACACTGTCTTCCTTCTTCTCTTCGCATGCCCTGGTCATCAGCAGGCGCCACATTTGAAGGTGTCAAGCAAAAGAACACGTGCGCGTCTGCAGTCTTAAGCGTCCGGTGAATACATAACCACTAGACCAATCAAAACGACGGTGTCTCATCGTCCAAAACAAACAATTAGCTCTCAAGAACGGTTTGGAACAATTTTGTCTTTACGCCGGCGTCTTTACTCTGATTTCTTTGTCAACCCGGACACAAACTTGGTACGTCGGGAGCCGCACAAAACGTTCCCCAGCATTTTATCCGTATTGGTAGGCAACACCTACGGAATAATAAATTCGAGGAAAGTCACATATTCGAAAAAGCATGCACTGTATTTAGTCGTGACGGAATTTCGTAAATTGAGGTTGGCAAATCGAAACCGAAACCATGTGCAGTGGGTCCCCAAATATGCTTTGCGCGGCACTATACGCTGCTAGAATCGCTTCGATCTTGCAAGAGGTCTATTCTGTGGTGCGAAATGTTTGCTGCAGAAGGTGCACGCCCAGCAGCGGGTTCACCAAAATGGGGGCTGATCTGACCCCAGTGCAAGTCACGCACAGACGGTGACAGGTGGTGAACCCAGTAGAGGCTCCGCCTCGAGCGCGAGGTTTCTGCCTTTGATAACACTTCGTCTCATGCGCAGCCAAAGCACGGCGGAAGGCAACGAGCACGCGCTGAAGGCTGAGCGCCTACTCAGGTCCTAACCTGTCTCCGACTATGCGGACCGCAAGTTTGTCTGCTCCTCTCGCAGGGGCTGTGTTGACGTCAGAACGCCGAGCTCTGATTGGCTCGTATTGGAAGGATAGTGGGTAGACCTCAAGGCAGCTTGCTTTGAGGTCTACCCACTATCCTTCAATCAGAGCCAATCATAGCTCGGCGTCTTTCTGACGTCACCACAACCCCCTGCAAAAGAAGCAGACGAACTTGAGCTTCGCATTGACGAAATGTGCGACCAAGAGCGTCGCTGTGGTTCACGATTGGACGAACGCTCACCATGAAGTTTTTAGCTGGATTGATTTTGACTTCATGGAAAGAAACACGAACCATACCAGAGTGTCCATTTTGACGGTGTTGGTTTAAGAATGCGATGACTCCGAGCTTTTATCATGGTTTTCACGTACATCGTCGAGCTTGGAGTTCACAACTGATGCTAAGTTGCCTATTACAGTTCGTGGCGTCAAGTCGAGGCAAATTCCGGTCGCGACGTCGCGGACGGAAATCGTAAGAGTGCGCTACCAAATCATCTCGGCGCTAATAAGCAATATAGACGCTTTCAGGCAGCTGCGCATGGGCGCCACCGTTTATTGACCTTCAATTTTTGTTTCCTCTTATTCTCTTCGCTTCACTTCATCATTGCCACAGCGGTACAGGTTATTGCCACTTTAGGTGCTACTGTGTCCTTCTCCCCATAATAGGCCTTTGTGGAGGTTAGTCAACGCTCGCTTCAGTGGCTCGGCATCTCGGTAAGACAACAGAAGGTCGGCAATGGCGGCTCAATCTGGCGCGTGTTTAAAGCGTCTATACCGATCTCACCAGCCAGTTTGACTACACCACGGCTGCTGCAATGCATCGAGGGAACTTTAGTCTTTCTGCACGTGCGACAACCTCGTTGCAGCTCTACGCGTGTATAGCACGAGATGTCACGAGCCCTCTCGTGCACTGCTGTCTGCCTCCTGTGAACTAAAGTTCTGGCGGCGTCACGCATGCGCCGAACGCTTGATGATATCGGTCTATTGCAAGCATGGCGCCCAAACTGGTGCCCAGTGAGTGCAAGCACGCGCAGCTTACGCGTGAACATACTTTTGGCAAGCTTGGAATTGCACGGGCTTGTCCGCACGAGCAGAGACATGGCGGCGGCCAGTGGCCTTGCTTGCAATCGTCTATATGCGTCTTCAAGAAAATAAGTGTTGGGAAGTACTTGAAGTAGGTTTAGAAAACGTGTACGTTACTTGAAGTACACTTTTTAATGTATGGACTTGTACTTTATTTAAAGTATTTTTTTTTCTAGTACTTTCCGAGAAAAGTGCAACCCTCGATCTCAAAGCGCATTCCCCGAATTCGGTTCGGTGAAATTAGGCTCTTTCAAGGACCATGCGCTCGACTCGTTGGCCCTTCGCAGTTATATATACACAACTTCTGCGGTCGATTACAAGAGTTCACCGAACTCTAACAAAAAATGGCATATCATCATGTGAAAACGCGCTATCGTCTTTCAAAACGTCATCCCACCATTTTTTTTCTGTGTGAGGTAAAGACGGCTATAAGACTGATACAAATAAGTGCCTTGATTGTGTTAACTAGTTTGTCTCCGAGGGTAAATCAACTACTCTGTGTCCACCTGATTTCATTCAATATTCGCCATTTCCAAAAAGAGCTGCTGCACCCCCCGATTACTTGTTATGCAATGCGTACCAGTAAAAAAAAAAAAAAAGAAAAAAGAACACTGTCTAGGGGAACGAAAGTTTGTTAAAAAGTGTCTGTACTTTACTTTGAAAGCACACTGTAGTTATAATACTTTACTTCAAGTACATTGCGTCCAACGTACTTACTACTTTGCTTGAATCACATAACCTCTGGTTTACTTTGTACTTTACTTCAAGTACAACTCTACCCATTACTGCAGAAAAGGGCTTCTGGTCGGTGACATTTTCTGCGTACAACGGCTAAGATGTACGCCCCACATCTTTTGCTGCAGCTGCCACATACCGATACAATCCGTAGTACATGGTAATGTTGTAAGGGAGGGTATAATATATTTCCTCACTGACTCCGCTGCCATCCGGCTTTTGCTAATCCCCTTAGCGTGCACGCCTATGGGACGCGAAAACGTCCATGGCAGAGGCTGAATGATGATTCTGTGAGCACACCCGTTTGCAGAACACGTGCCATAGAACGCGCGTTGAGTAACTGTGTGCATACAAATACAGAAAATAACGTGTTTCTTCACGCACCCACGTGTGCAACCAGTGTAAAGGGGTGTCCTCACTGGCTCCGCTGCCACCGTGCTTTACATGCCCAACGCCTTCACTTTACAGAACCGAACAGACAACGAAGTGGAAGGCCATTTGGCGTGACCCTAGACGTCCACGTATACTAGGCCTCGGGGAAGCAGCCACAACGCGGAAATGTCGGGGTACCGAAATGATCTCCAATTGGTTCGGTGGGTGCGGAAAAGGAAGTGGACGCGAGAGATGCTTCCTGTTGATAGGCCACCGGGCGAAACGGACAGCATCGCCGGGGGAGGAAAGTGACCGAGCTTGAAATCTTAAATGACCTGTTTCAAAAGACACCCCTCTGTTGGCGGCTGTATAATCCGTGCACAATGGCGGACTAAAACGGCAACGTCACGGCATACTTTACGCGTTTGTTCGGATTAGAAGGAGGCAAGAACACGCCCACAAAAAAGACGATGAGCTCAGTGACGTCACACTTT